AAAAAAAAAACATAACAAACAACCAAATTATAAAGCACATAAGAGAAGTGTACCAAAGCATTTTCAGCACCAGCCTTCTTATGATGTTGATAGCCAGGCCTCTTTTCTCTAGAGACATAAACAAGCCTAGGAAGCTCATTTCCCTCAATGTCATGTGCACCAGTATTCCCCAAAAACACCTGAATTTGAAAGAGAAGGATTATAACCAGTTCTTACCTCTTTTACAATAAGTGTCTCTCGGAAAAAGTGTTGGTCAAGTAAAGGAGAAATAAAAAGCATAAATTAAAACTCGATTAAACCTGAATCATGCCAGGATGATCACGTGTATTATTCCCAGGCCAAGGTGTTCCGTCTGCCATGGTCCAGCCGTCATCTGGCGTTTTCTGGGCCTTTGCCACCAAAGCATTTATCCGCACTTTATACTCTTCATAGTCCCTCTATGAACCAAAGAGCAGAAACAGTAATTAGACTTTACTTCAACAAAACCTAAATGATGTCAAGCTGCAAAATCACAAATAAATTTTCATATGTATACTAACTTTCATCGCCCTACGTTCCTTGACGAAAGAAGGCTGTATTTTATCCCTCAAGTAATCAATCTTCTGCGAGAAGTAAAACTCTGGGGCACGTGGCTCGATGCAGAACTTCTTGCAGAATGGCACCCATTTCCTTGCGAAATCAGCAGTTTCAACAAGAGACTCGAAAGTAAGCATAGCTGCACCATCGTCAGATACATAACAGGAGACTTTATCAACCGGATAATCCACAGCAAGGATTGAGAGAACAGTATTTGCCGTTATGAGAGGCGGTTCTTTTAATGGGTCAACCGTACTGACAAAGAAATCAACAGCAGCAAGCTCAGAGGGTTCTCCCTCACGCTCATACCTGAATAATTTGTAAAAATAAAAAAATAAAAAATACATAAATAGACTTTAAGAGATTTGATATCCTAATCATATGTTCTCTGTAATGATTTTCTCCCACAAGATCTTTGTTAACACAGCAACAACCAACACAGCTCATTGATTAAAAAACGATAAGGAATATTCTATTAGCATACGACAAATTCAATGTGAAAATAACGGAATTATAACTTCTACATTAAAATAGTTGCCACACTGAAAATAATTGGGTAAAACGATTTTACTCACAGCTCAATGCCAAAATGGAGGTCAAGAACTAATCTAAATCATTTCCTAATAGCTTAAAACACGAAAGTCCAAAACAAGCTTCGATCCACAATATCCACTCAAGAAATAGTAATATATAGGATAACATACCTAGCAGATAACCTGTCGATATATGTGTCTCTATTTATAGGCGACCACTTAGGAAACTGATCAAGCACCCAGGAGAATGCAAACCAGATCTCACAAATAACAGAAGTGAGCCACAGACCAAAGGCACTATCAACAGGATTTGTC